TTTTGTTGGTCAGTCATTTGTAGATCACCCGTGGGGTCTGCGCAGGGTGGTGCACAAGTATGCGGTTCATCCATATGATCCTGGTCAGCCATTTGCAAATCCCTCGTGGGGTCTACGCCATGCGGGATTAAATGCAGTCCAAGCAGATCATGTTCCAGTCCCTCATATATATATATCATCAAATATATATATATATATATATATTCCACTCTACCATCAGGCCTTGCTCACTCTTTGAATGTCTTCTCTCCCTCTCTCCCAAGCTACTGCTATGGCACCAGCGCTACCCTACGCAACTACTGCCAGCCTCACTGGATACTTGGTCAGACAACTCCGCAGCAGTGCCTCCGCAACAAGCTCGAATGGAAAAAGTGTTGACGCTTTGCAGCAGTCCGACTTTGGTATCCGACGCGTCAGTCTCCAATATTGGACTTCCTTGACCGGTACCCTCGCTTGTCCGCTGCGGCCGGCTTTTCATGCATTCGAAGAGTCCTCTGACTCTCCTGGGACTGAACTGCTGACCAGACGGGACTAACTGAACGGCCTAATGAATGAACTGGGCCTCCAGGCCCTAGTGGCCTATGTCTTAGACCTAGCTATGCTACCTACGGAATGCAACTGCGGTACATGGGACTTGGGAACTTTGTGACCCGAGCTTGGTACAGATTGCTCGTACGCGTGAAATCCTTTCAGTCTTAAGCATACTGCTACATACTGAGATCATCCTCGTTCATAGATATTTGAGAAACAATCCACTTTGTGCATGGCGCGCACCAACACACAAGGTCTCAGAAACCCCGTTCAGCAAAGCTGCACTGCCACCATCTCCCACATATCAGGCATGGCCATTATAGTTATGCATGTGACTTGAAAGTTGCACCAAATACCGCCATAATGGCCAAGCACTGGTTTCAGGCCCTTCAGGGGGCAGACGGTAGGGTCTCGTCTGCCCAGAGCCAATTGGTCCTTTCTGTCTCCTTTTTTTTTTTTTTTTTGTCTTTTGACCCTGGCATGTGTTTCCTTCTTTTGTTGTTCTTTTGTCAACCCTGGTATGTGCTGCCCTTTTTTTTGGTCAACCCTGGTGTGCTCGTCACTATCGTGTTCAATCTCTTTCCATACCTAATGGATGAGCACCAGGGTTGCATACCTGCCGACCGCCGACCGTTTTGCAGCCAACCAGTAGGGCTGACCGGTCGGCGGTCTGCCAACCAGTCAGAAAACAGCCATCCACTGTTTT